CTAACGTTCACCAAAAAACTTTAGTGAGAAAAATTGAAAAAACGAACTACAAACATATTAACGCCAAACATTCGGTACAATTTATAAAATATTGTAAATATATATATATATATATATATATATATATATATACATATATATAATTATGCAATAAAAAGGTTTGTACGTGCATATCAGTGCGACAAAGACTTTTATCTGTTTATAATAAAAATAATTTTTAATTATAATTTTTAAGTGTAGGTTTGAGCAGCACTTAATTCTATAATAAAGTGTCATTATTTTATATCACTAAATGCCATGTATGTCAATATATATATATATGTGTGTGTGTGTGTGTGTGTTTGTGTGTGTGTCTGTCTGTGTGTACATGTATGTACAGCAATTGAAACAAAGCGTTACTTTCATTCATTCATTTTAAATGTTCATTAACTGTTCATTAATTTGTTCGTTCGTTTGTTTGTTTGTTTGTTGGCTAATGCAGTTGTTCATTCGTTCATACATTCATTTATTAATACTGAAACATTATTTCTAGTTAGCACTTTAATTCATTCCTTCATTCATCCATCCATTTATTCATCCAATCATCTATCCATCCATTCATTCACTCATTCCGCGTTCCATATTAGCGATTATAATACTAGTATTAACAATAATAACAACAACAACAATAATAATAATAATAAGTTAATGTTAGAGCTGTGCAATGGTAGTTTCTTCCTCTAATGTCTCACCGTTATGGTTATCTTCTTTCTGTAAAAAAAAAATAATAAAAATTTATTATTTTTGTTGCTGTTATTACTGCAACTATTACTAATATTACTGGAGTACATAGAATTCTTTTTCTACTACTACTACTACTGCTACTGCTACTAATACTACTACTAATACTACTACTAATACTACTACTACTACTATTACTACTACTTTTTCTCTGACCAAATAACCAATTTAATTTTAAAAATTAACAATGAAACTGAACAAAAAAAATTCCATCATAAAAAACCATCAGCTAATTTTAACTGGTCAAAAAAATAACAAATTTTGATTGGGCAATGAAAATTACCAATTATGATTTCTATTAGACAAAAAAATCACTAATCCCTAACAAAAGTATCAGCTAGCTTCTTAGTGTCCCCATTAGCCTCAAGGTCAGGGTTTGCTGATTTGATGTCGTGTTTCGGCCAGCAGACGAACATAATTAGGAGAACGAGAACGAAAGTGACACTCATCAAAATGGGAACTCCAATGTTTAGCCAGTTCGACCAACATTCATTTTTTCCACTGTCGTTTCCGGAGCAGTCGAGAGGTTTTTTCGTTGTTAGGAATGGTAACGTCGTGTTCTCGTGCTGCTAAAATTAGTTTAGGTTAGTAATTTAGTTAGTTAGGCTTCCAGGAAAAGGTTACTTAAGTTTACTTCTAAGTAATTTCAATAATTAATTTATAATAGTGTGATAATTTTTATTTATGGCTATAATATTTAATTGAAAACCTATAAAATATGGTAAATTTCTAAAAAAAAATTAATAAAAAAGAAATAGTAATAATTGATATAAAATTAATTGAAAAAATTCTCTAACTAACATCACTGATGGGAGCCATAGAATAAAAGACTATTTATATTATAAACAATAAACAAAGAACAATTTGTTGAATGAAGTTTACTGTTTAATCAGGACTTGTGACTTTGTCATTAAACATCTACTAATTTTACTAATTAAGTATTATGTAATTTATTTGGTTGGTTGGTTGGCTGTAATGTAATTTATTTATTTAATTAATTAATATATTAATAATTATAATGTAATAATTAACGATCAAATTCAGACTCTATTCAGTATTCAGAGTACAGTACATGCCTTCCAAATTAGTCAAGTAAAAATTACATTGTGAAAATGAACATTTCTAACGAAACCTAAAATAATAAAAAATAAGGCAAAATAAAATTTAAAATATTTAATAATAATTTAAAATAATAACACAAAAAAGCGACGAAAGTTATAAAGAAATTCAGAGAAATAAAATTTGAAATAACATATAAATAAAGTCCACTTTTAACCGAGAACTTTGGAATATCTAATAGCAAAGTGAAGAGGCACTTGAAAAGTAAAAATTTTTGAAGTTTAATTCATTTACAAATTATTTGTCTAAATATTATAGTCTATAATACTCGTTACAATATAAATAATTGTAATTTTAATAATTATAATATAAATATCTATTATAATATAAATAATTATCATATTGTTTTAGAATTATTCATCTCTTTATACACTATGATATATATATATATATATATCAAATGGTATATATATATACTATTACCACTTCTAATTAATTATCATTTTTGACATTTTTTGGAAAATATAACTTTATATATATATATATACAACAACAACAACACACGTTTAGACGGCATTTTCCCCGAGATCGGGGGTTGCCGTTTGGCTACCTATGATGAAACCGAAATACCCCTCGACGCCATCCACATCTGTCACTCGCCTCAGTATCACGCAACCCCGCTTTCACCCTGTCCTTCTCCACCTGCTCTCTCCATCCCAATCGCGGACGACCCCTTCCTACCACTCCTTCAACCTCGAACTCCAACGCTCGCCTAATCCCGACCCTTTCATCCCTTCTCGACACATGTCCATACCACCGCAATCTCGATCTCCTTATCAATGTCACAATGTCCTCATTCAGTCCCATCATTGACATCAGCTCTGTACTACTCCTCCTATCCTTCACTTTAACCCCACACATCATCCTCACCATAGCTCTTTCAGCCCTCTGCAGTACACTTTCCTCCTCTCTCCTCAACACCCAAGTTTCACCACCATATACCATCGCTGCTCTCACACATGCTTTATATACCCTCCCTTTCATCTTCACTGACCATTTCTTTCCACACAATACCCCACCCAGTTCCCTAAATTTCATCCATCCCACACGAACTCTAGCCGTAACTGCGCTCAAACATCCTCCATCC